AAAATATAAACTGGAGGAGTGAGGGGGTAAAAATGTGTGTCAATGAATGAATGAAAAGCTAACTTTTCTGTAAACTTTCATTAAAATCACAATTAAAATAAAAAATTTTATTAAATGAAAAATTTTATAATTTCTTCCATATATCAGTGTTGTGAGAACCAGATGGATTTTATATCATTTGTAAAAGTGTCTGGAGCTTAATAAGCTGTGAGGGTATGCAATATTAATATTAGCAAATGTTCTTTGTGTTTGGTATCTGGTTCCCTTCTCGAGGACAGATGCTGAAGGTGTCAGCCCTGATGTAATTGGGCACCTCGGAAAAGACTGGGGATGTGCAGAATCTGGGGATCTCATGCAGAAAATTTTTCAAATTTATATGGAGTTGATAATTCATTACAACCACACAAAACTCACGGACTTTACTCACAATAAGGGTTTAAGAGAAGTAAGGCATTGCAATTCAGGATCAGAACTCAGAATCCAGTTCTCTGGTCCAAACAGCTCCTTGACCTTGGCTGTAGGCAGGTCTCTTCCTCTGTCCTTGAGCCCCTTAGGTTGGCCTTTCTTCTGCTTGGACAAGTGTCACGAAGCTGTTTAGCTCTCAGACAAGTGCCCAGATGCACACTACTCTGCCAAGAAGCTTCCTGCACAAAGGCACTCAGAACCCTAACTCCATGGGTTGACAAGCCTGATGTTGTCTCCTGCCCCACAGGCCAGCAAGCTTATTAAACCCTCTCACACTGCTCTCCTCCTCGACTGTCTCTGATCTCACCATCTCACACCATCTCTGATGTCGCAACTCTCCATGTCTGTCTTCTGGGTCTAAAGGGTTCTCAGCCCAGTGATCCTGGATCTAAAGGTCCACTCCCATCTTTTTCCTAGTGATAGTGAAATTCCACTGTCCACTTCTGGGCCAGCTTGTTTTACACCTAGCAGGATGGCAAAACTAGCCAATTCCCTTGTGGGGATCCATACACTATATTTATATGATTATAGACACATAATGATATTATACATTACTAGAAGCTGTCCAATCCCCTTAGTAGTCCACAAGCATCTTATTGCATAGTCTTATCATGTCTATACAGGACTCAAATTATTGAGCAATGATTTCTCTGTGAGAGCTAAGGTGCATCTGATTCAGATCATGATCTTTCCAATAACTTGTTGTGCATCTGACAGCTGAACAATGAATAAGGATGACAGGATTGATGCCTTTTAGCTATGGTGTTGGATATGAATATTGAATATCCCTTGGACTGCCAAAAGAACAAATAAATATGTACTAGAGAAACTGCAGCCAGAGTGTTCCTCAGAGGCAAATGTGATAAAGCTTCGTCTCATATACTTTGGGCATGTAACTAGGAGAGGCTATTCCCTGGATAGGGACATCATGATTGGAATGGTGGAGGGTCGGTGAAAAACAGGAAGAGCCCCAATGAGATGGATTAGCACAGTGACTGCTGTGATGGGTTCTAAAGTGTCAGAAAGTGGAAGGGTGGCACAGGAGAGGACAGGATTTAGATTTGTTATTTATAAGGCTGCTATGTGTCACACTCAATTTGAGGGCACCTAACAACAACAATAAATCATGTCTAGAAAAGTCTTGCCACAGCGATCCATTGCAGTCCACCTGGTTTCCTATTCCTCCCAAGTCTGAGATCTTTCTGAAGCTACCACATGGGATAGAATAATAGATATCAGGCTCGGAGTGGAGATTGTGACAAGCTTCGTTTATTAACAAAAACAGCAGAGGTCAGTTGCTAGGTAACACATGCTTATGTCAACCTACTTCTCCCCCTCATGCCTGAGACTAACACTTTCTTTCAGTCTTCTTTGTAGCCAGTAGAGGGACACGTGGCACCACCTCAATCTGCTAGGAAGCTTCTGGATGGACTTATGCTTTCTTGATATGAGATGCAAAGACTACCAATGGAATCCGCTTCCCCCTTCAACTCTCTACCTTAGACATTTAAACATGATGCTTGGACCTATAGCAACCACCTTGCAAACTTGTGATTGTTGTTGTATACTGTCAGATTGAAACCAATCCATAGCTGACCATCCAGAGGGCTTTCAGAGGCAATAAATCCCACGGGAGGAGATTACCCATCTTTCTTTCGTGGAACAGCTGGTGGGCTTGAACCACGTACCTTCACACTGGCAGCACTGTCAGAGCTCCCTTGTAAACATAAATAAAGACTAATTTAATCACAGAGATCTTAGCCATAGTATCAGCATTGTTAAGGAGAAGGTTTTAAAATAATAGTGAAGCCACTATGGTTGGATTTTGTATGGTTTGCACTCCTCACCAATGTAGCATCGTCCTCTGCAGGTAGCAGCTTTGTGGATTGTTACACAGAAGGAGTTAAGGCCCACAATCCCACCTCTCTTGGCCCCAAGCCACAATGGAACTTTCTTCTCCAAAGACACCATCCTCTCATTAATCGCATTAGTATTATCACAGAGTCTACTCACTGATTAAAGTGAAAAGAAAATGTTTTATTCAATTATGTGAAGAGTACAAATTGTCTTCAGACAAATGAACAGCAGGTACACAGTTAGTAGAGTCACTCAACCCAGTGAGACCCATAGTAACAAGCTAGAGTTCTCCCTCAACACCCTGCCCACCACCTCTGTCCCCAAGACAGCCAGTTAGCTTTTGTTCTGGGCTTCCAAAGGAAGAGAGCCTGTAGTTTGGACACTGTCTGTGTTTTTTCCTTGCATTAGGCTAGATCCCACTGGACGGGAGGTTCTGACCCATCTTTAGCTTCCTTTCCTAAGCACACTCCTCTCTTGAACATTGTTGGCTTGCCATCTTAAGGAAAATATCTTCATTTTGGTTGCCTCAGAAGAACCTAATTTATACTCAAAACTCTTGTTTGTCAAAGCTCATTGCCTCTAAATGACTTCATTTAGCCTCTGTCCCCACTTCTCCCCACCCTCTCCCTGGACATGTTCTCAGGATCTCAGCTCCCTGGACATCCCATCTCCCTCTACGTGTTGACCATTCTTCATGTACAATGCCTCTCCTGCCAAGTACAGCGTGGAATTCATTTAAATGAACACACTTGGGTGAGAGCTGGGAACTATGTTCTCCTCAGGGTAAGGTGTAGCCTGGAATATGACGGGGCAGAGTTGGTATCTGCTTTTCTTTTGCGTACAAAAGAGATGATTACTTTTAAAAAAATTTATATACATTGTGGCATATGAAGTTTTATTGCTAAAACACTTGTTAGGAACTATGCTTGCCCTGGGGAGACTCATAGGAAAGAGAGGATCCCCATGTATTTACAAGGGGGGCACATAGTAGAGTGGAGGATTCACAGGACCAGGAGGCCGGAAATAGGGATTCTCTCCCCAACTCCGTCACCAGCTTGTCTCTAGACAAGTCACTTACCTGCTCTGAACCTCAGCTTTAAGGACTCCAAAACAAAAGAATTGGACTAACTTCTAAGTGCCATCCCAGTTTGGGCTTAATGACAGTAACAGTTCTGGAAAATAACAGTAAGATGTTAAGTTGTGCATTTTTTATTTTATTTTATTTTTACTTTTCACAGAACTTTCACATTCACAATTTCTCGATTTGAACTTTTGAATTGTTGTTGCTGTGTGACCTCTACTAGGAACAGACTCACAGCTGACTCTACAGAGAGAGTTTTGAACTGTCAGCTTTTGGGCTGGCAATGCAACACCTTACCCAGTAGGCCACCAAAGCTTATCAGAGTAGGTCCTACTCCCTATACAGATAGAGAAAGTGGAGCCCAGAGGAGTGAAAAGACTCCCCCCTCAAATCACTCAGCTAATTCGTGACAGGGCTGTGACCAGAATCAAGTCTCCTGACTTATCTGGGTTGCCATGTCCAACTGTATAGGGGCTGCCCACACAAGGGGGCACCTGAGGGCACATGAGAGAGAGAAAAGCTGAAAAGTGCTTAGGTGATCAGACACGAAGACGAGAAAGACAATTCATTCCTAATTGGTCTGCTCCAGAAGGGGCACCTTATGTTCCCAGACTTCCTGAGGAATAGGGACCATCTCTCTTCAGTTAATCCACCTCAGGTGCACCTTTCTGCATGCTCTCTAAGGTGCCCTGTTCCTTGTGGATCAACAACATCCCTGATCGTGGGCTTGTACCTCTTCCCACTCTGCCACTGGGCGAGTAACTCTGAAGGGAGGTTAAACACTATTGTATCCTAAATATTGCCTGCGACAATATTTATTCTAGAAGATATTATTCACCACTGGAAATTCAAATTTACCTAGCTGTCTTAATTTGTATTTCCTGAATCCAAAATCAATGGAATTTTAGACTTGACTTGTATGGGCTCCTCCCAAAAACTAAAATTTAAATTTTGAGGAATAATGTAGCTGGTTGTTGAATCACTGACAGTTTAAAAGTAACTATGATGGCTATCAACACAAATCAATGCGTCTTTCATTCTGTTATTTTTGTTTCCTTATTTTTACTCTTTTTTTTCCCTGTTGTGTACCGTCAAATCAGATGGACTGGCACAGGAGGAGATTGCCCCTCCTTCTCCATCTGAGCATCTGGTGGGTCTGAACTGTATGTGCCTTGGGAATCACAGTGCAGCTTCTTGCCACTAGGCCACCAGAGGTCCCTATTATTTCCTCTTTTCTTGTTTTGTGTTGGGGGAGTGGTTTAAGAGTTGGTTGTTATATATTTTTCAGCACATCAATTCTATGGAGCCCTTGTCACTAATGTAGTGGGTAAAGACTCAGAAACCTTGTCCCTGGGTTCCTTGCTATGGCACGAAGTCAGAAAGTATTCAAGCATAGCTTATTGGGAAATACTCTGTGCCTACACTCCTAGCATAAGGCTGTTGGCAACTCAGAATCCTAAAAAAAGAGAGTGGAAGAACCCCAGAATTTCAGAACGGCGCATTAGGGGTGAAAGCAGGAGCTGTGAGACACTCCCCGTGCCTAACCCCTCTAGCCAGGCTTGAGAGGCCGGCTGCAGCCCTGGCTGGCCCTCTGAGCTCAGGGCGCAGGCTTCTTGCGCGCCACAATGAAGCAGACCCCCGTGTTGGGGGCACTGGCTGGGGAGTAGCTCAGGGGACTATGCAGGAGCTGCTGGATGTCGAAGCCAGCGTCCAGCACGGCCTGCTCCACCTCCTCCTTCTGCAGGACCACACAGGAGAACTGGCGCTTCCCCACCATGTAGGACTGGAGCTGGAGAGTGACCGTGGTCACCAGGTGGCCTCCAGGCTTGAGCAGCGAGGCGAGGTTGCGCAGCGCGGCGCGGTAGGCGTCCAGGCTGCAGCAGGCGCACTCCATGGCCAGCAAGGTGAGCACGCAGTCGGCGGGGGGCAGCACAGCCGGGGCCAGCGGGCTGGCTAGGTTGGCGTCGCACTTGAGCACGCGCTTCACTGTGGCTCGAAGCTTCTCCTCCTTCTCCTGCCACCGACCACTGCGGAGAGAGGGCACCGCTCAGCCCCCCAGGCCAGCAGGCGGCGGGGGTGGGGCCAGCAGGCAGGGCTGTGTGTGTGTGTGTGTGTGTGTGTGTGTGTGTGTGTGTGTTATCTCTGGACCCAAAGGCAGCTCTTCCTTGATCTGGATCAGAGGGCAACCTCAGGGAAAAGGTGGCCTGCCTGCGACCCCGACCCCACAGAGGGTCCCCTCTCTAGATCGCCGGAAGAGACAAGGAGCCGCCCGTGTGAACAAGGCAAACAGTAAACACTCAAGGGAAGGATGGGTTAGTGAATCAGCTCCATACGCTATATAGATGACGAATCTTTAAAAATGCAATGTGGAATCTGTAATCTCGTCATAAAGATAATACCTAATCCTGTATTTCTTTAAACAGTTCTCTCTCTCATCTGCTTCAATGCAATATACATTATTTATCCCCTCCTTTCTTACAGAAAAAGAAATGCATAGTAAAGTGGACTGTGGACTTGATTGTATAACAATGAAAGAATTTTTTTTTCTTTTCAAAGAGAAAAACCAAAGAGGGGAGGGGGGTACAGGGAGAAAATGTGCACCAATGAATGAATGGGGGGTGGAAATGGAAAGAATATGGTGTAAAAAAACTCCAAAAATCTCCCCTATCTAAAAAAAAATGTGATGTGAAATGAAAACAAGCAAATACCAAGGGACAGCAAAGAACGTGTTCATCGACCGTAAAGGGTAGAACTGCCTCAGAGCTGACCCTCTGCTGTTGCCGAGCCTGTAAACGGTGCAGGTGGAGATTGGTCATCTTTCTCCCTTGGAGACCATGGTGGATTCAAAAGGCCTGAGAGGCGTGGCCTTTGGTTCAGCTGCACAACACCCTCTAGTGGATTAGACCAACGAAAGTGAATAAAACACCCCCCCAAAAAAAAAACCCTCCCAGATTGCCTAGAATACAGAAATATGTGGTAAGATAATTTTTGAAAACCAAGGGAATTTTAAACAGAGTTCAGAGTAGTGATTACCTCGGGTGGAGGAGGCAGGGGTGATGTACAGGGGAGGGTATGGGTGGGTTATATTGGTATTTAAGTGCTCAAGATGTGTGGTGAGTTTATGTCACCACATAAAGTGAAGTGACCATAGACACAAATGATAGAAAGAGACACAGGTGGGTAAAGAGACAGTCACTGACTGACAGGAAGGAAGGATGGTACTGTCTTGTCTTTAGTACTCAGGCCTGGTCACGTGACATCACAACAGTCCCTGAGGCCACATAACATCATGACACAGGGATTTAGTCAGAGAATAAGGACATGTATGGCACCGGGAAAAAGTCTGCAGTTATGGACCTTTCCAAATTATTGAGGAGTAATGATGTCACTTTGAGGACTAAGGGGCATCTGATTCAGGCCATAGTCTTTCTGATTACTGGCTATGCATCTGAGAGTCAGACAATGAATAAGGATGACAGGAGAAGAATTGATGCCTTTGAGCTATGATGTTGGAGAAGAACACTGAACATCCCATGGATGGCCAAGAGAATGAACAGATATATCTTGGAGAGGGTGTAGCCAGAGTGCACTTTGGAGACAAAATGATGAGGCTTCCCTTACATACTTTAGGCGTGTTCCTGGGAGGGGCTATTCCTTGGAGAAGGACATGATACTGGGAAGTGCGGAGGGTCGACAAAGGAGAGGAAGACCTTCAACCAGGTGGATTCACATGGTGACTGCTGCAATGGGCTTTTGTGTGTCAGAAAGTGTGAAGAAGGCACAGGATATAACAGGGTTCAGATCTTTTATTCATAGGGCCACTATAAGTCGTACTGGACTTGAAGGCACCTAACAACAATAACAACAACTCCCAAAACTGAGGTCGCCCCAAATGTGACATAGGTACAGTGCATCAAAGTCGTGGGGAAAAGAAGTAGATGTCCTGCTACCGAGAAGCATCCACTCACCTGCCAAGCCCTTACCTGTCTCCCTCCAGCTCACAGGCAAATTTCACAGCCGGGGTCCAGTCATAGGCCCCTGGGTCCTTCCTCAGCCACTTCTCCAGCTCCTCCCGGTTGCGGTCTGTGAAGTCCGAGAGAGTGATGTCTCGGAAGGCCTCACAGGCAGCAAGCACTTGGTAGATGGTTGGGCCCGAGCCAATATCGATCAGGGTGTCCCCTTTGAGACCCCCTGTGGGAGGGAACAAGATGCAGAGACTGGTCAGAGAGTCTCGGAAGCCCCTGTAGTCTTAGAATTTCAGACTCTGCTGTGTCAGACCCCGGGAGGGTGCATGTGAAAGTGCTCCCAAGACAGACTGCTTTGGGGCAAGGAGAGCTAGACCCTGCTGCTGCCCAAGAGGAGAGGCAGCGCTGATATGACAGGGTTTACATTGCTGGTAAGTGTCATGGAGTCAACTGTGGTTCATAAACGCAATAAACAGCCATGAGATTGGAACCTCGCCCTCTCCTGAGCGGTCCTCCTCATCTCCTCTGTGCTCGAGCCCATGGTTTCAGTCATTGTGTCAAAGCACCTCCTTGAGAGTTTACAGACTGATGCATTTCTGTTTATCCAAGAAAAACCTTGTTAAAAAAACATGATTGCTCTCAAGTTTGTTCTGACTCATTTCAACATCGTGAGTATTAGAGTAAAACTGGGTTCCACAGGCTTCCAATGGCTTGTGCTTTGGTAACAGAGCACCAAGCCTTTCTTCCAAGGGCCCTCTGCGTGGACACAAAACTCCAGTCTGTGCCCTGGCTCCTGAGCATGTGGCCTCCAGGGACTCTCCCTGCCAAACTCAATGTCACATGCAGGCACTCCCAATTACAAGTGAGTTCCTTTTGAAATCTGTCTTGAAGTTGAATATTCATGCACATTAGAGCAGGTAGGTAGGAATTTTATCTAAAGTCAGCTGGTCAGATGTTTGTGTTTATATGTAGTCTACTTTCCTTTGCATAAAAACCATTAAAAAACACTTCTGTGTTGTTGTTGTTGTTGTTGTTATGTGCCGTCGAGTCACCTGCGACTCATAGCGACCCTATGTACAACAGCCCTAAACTCCGCTCTGTCCTGTGCCAGTCGCACTGTCTCTGACACTCCCATCCCAATTATCCCAGTCACTGAATCAATCCACCTCACAGAGGGCCTTCCTCTCCTGTGCTGTCCTTCCACCCTCCCAAGCATAATGTCCCTCTCCAAGGACCGGTCTCTATGTACCAAAAAAACCCCACTTCTAGATACACTAAAACATCTTTAACATAATAATACAGTCTGATTCAGGCCACAGTCTTTCCGTTTACTAGCTATGCAGCTGAGACCTGGACAACGAATAAGGATGACAGAAGAAGAATTGATGCTGGAGAAGAACACTGAAAATGCCATGGACTGCAAAGAGAATGAATAGATATGTCTTGGAGAGGGTGCAGCCAGAGAGCTCTTTGGAGACAAGAATAATGAGGCTTCATTGTACTTTGAACATATTGATAGGACGTGCTATTCTTCAGAGAAGGACATGATGTTGGGAAGGGTGAAGGGTCAGCAAAGGAGAGGAGGAACCTCAACTGGGTGGATTGACACAGTGACTGCCACATGGTAGGACAGGACTTGGTTCAGATCTTTTGTTCATAGGGTTGCTATGAGATGTATTCGACTTGATGGCATCTAACATCAATCACGACAATAATAATAATAATATTTCTATGCATGTCACAAAGCATTATCAGTTTATTGTTACAAACCGTTATATGTACCTTGAATTTTTAACACAATTGGCCTTACAGAGGTTGCCTTATAGATTGCATTTAAATCGTCATAACCCAGTAACTACCTGTATTTTATATTCACTTCTATTTATACTTCAGAGTTACCCTGTGCTAGGACTATTGTTTTTGCTTCCATTTTACAGATTGGAAAATTGAGCCTCGGAAAAACTAAACAATTAGCCAGATAACTTTCTGGAAAGAGTGTGACTACTTCCCTTCCAGGACAGAGTTCAGGAGGCACACAGCTCAGGCTCAGAAGAAGATTCTGGGAGCAGAGAACATGTGGGGTATTGACCAGTTCAGGTTGGCTGGGAGCCTCCTCTGCTGGCTCAGGCTGGTCATGCCCCATACAAAGCAGGTAGACAGAGGAGATGGACCAGAGCAGGAAGCAGGGGGCTGAGAAGGAGAAAGCTGGGAAGGGCTGCTGGCTGAGCTGAGAGTCACCTAGAAGCTGGAATGAAGCATGACTTCCAACATTCCATGTGGAGATGGGCTTGAAGCCATGTCTCCAGTGGGGTCACCGCCCAGCCGGTTGTTTTGACATCTACTCCTCACCAGACAGCACCACCACAGTGTGCTTAACTCCCTCCTGCCCTTGGCCTAGGACCTGCTGAACACGAGGACCCCAACCCTCAAGATGAAAACCAGGACTTCCCCCATCAAATACCCACAGGGAAAACATGGTTGCATGAGCCCAGAGGCAAGAGCTAAAATGAGGAGCGGAGATGCAATTCTGCCTGGAGGGAGGCACATCATATGTCTATTTCACAGGTGGTAGGTACAGTCAAGGTCGTAGGAGACTGAGAAAGTCTTGGTAGCAGGTCCATGACAGGCTTGGACCCTTCTCACCTTCCCAAGCTAAACTATTGCAGACATATGCCACAGTTGTGTAGTTGTGTATGCTCCATATTCTTTCTCTCTCTCCTCTCTCTCTCTCTCTGTGTCTCTCTGTGTCTCTGTGTCTCTGTCTCTGTCTCTCTCTCTCTCTCTCTCTCACACACACACACACACACACCCCACCCCACAAGCCCCACACATTCTCCTCTCCTGTCCCCTTTCAATATGCAGCTCTTATACTCCTGGGCTCCTGGGCTGAAGGAGACAGAGCCCAACCTCCTGCTGATATTTGCCCCCAAAGAATTCCCATCCTGACAAGCTCCCTCATCTCCAGCCCCTGCAGCCCCCTAGAGAAGATCAAGCTGCCACTCAGCCTGGCGTCAGAGGACCCCATTCTCCCTGTCATTGACCCAGGGTCCCTAGAGATCCAGGGAGAAGGGACCCCCTCTCTCACCAGGACCGAAGGTCTTGTGAAGACACTCCAGGTTGAACTTGAGCATCTCAGCCTCAGGCGAGGGGCCATGGTCAAAGCTGTAGTAGGTGGTCAGGTAGTCCCTGGGCAGGAAGTTCTTCTGGTATTCCTCACCTCCTGTGAAGTGCCCCTCCATCGTGGCTGGTGTGTGCAAGGTCCCTGCCTGTCCCTCTTAATGAAGGCTCCGGAGGCTCCAGACTCCACCCCACAGCCCAGCCCACTCTCTGCCCCCACCTCTCCCCGAGCCCTTCTACTCTGGTTGGAAGGTAGGGCAGAACTGAGACCTCTTTTAACCAAGAGCTGTGACAGCTGAGGCTACAGCTGCCCTGGCCTCAATTTTCCTAGGGACTGACCTCAAATCTCTTAGAATTTGTTGGTGCCCAGCCCTGTGTCCCACTCAGCTTTGCCAGCCCCATGTTGCTTTGTGACTTTGGGCAAGTATTCGGCCTCAGCATCTCCTTCTGCCTGTCTACCCCATCTGTGAGGACTAAGATCGTTTATCTCTCACAGCTGTCATGAGACTGAGTTCATAGCAAAGTCACCATCTGGTGGCCTGATGGTCAGAGGGGCTGAATGGCCTTTTCCAGGACTAAAGCTCCAGCCTCTGTGAGAGACAGAGTTCAGACCAGGACAGACAGACTGCTCACTCTGCATTCCACACCATGAGGCTATCAGAGATGTTTGCTCACTCTCCATGAATGGAGACCCTGGGCAAAGCAAACCCAAGACCTCAGTTCTCTTCCCTGTAAAATGGGACTGCACTGTAAAACCATGCACAGGTGGAGAAAATACCAGCATCCTTTTTGGCACCAAGACATGGCTCTCACTTGGCCACAAACCAGACAGGAACATACAGGGTCTCTTGCCCTGCAAGTGAGAAGGACAAGAATGTCTTATTCTGGCTTTAAGGAAACAAACAGTTGTGACCTCCTCTGAGCAGACCAGGGTCCAGCAGACAGAAGTAGAAACACTCAGTGACCACCTTCAGGGCCTCTTCCCCAAGGGTGGGAATCTAGGACAGCCCCCGGGGAGACTGGTACTATGGTGCCAGCCTGCAAAAGACACTTCAAGAAGGCAAAGGCAGAAACACCTTACCAAATTTGTGGAGATTTTAATTGAAAAAGGGACAGTATTAACAAGTATTAAGGTGGTGCAGACAATTACACCCTTGGCTGATAACAGAACAGTTGAAGGTTCAAGTCCACCCAGAGGCTCCTTGGAAGATCTGGTACTCTAATACTAAACCCTCAGTCATTTAAATCTTGGAGGACCACATGGAGTGTGGTCTATTACCCATGGAGTCCCCATAACTCAGGGTTGATTCCATGACAACTGGTTTATTACTTAAAGGGCACAAACAAGGATGAGGGTGTGTCCTCTATAAGCAGGGAAAGCCATTATCACCCCAAGGCCTGAAGGAGGAACCACTAGCTACAGAGACAGACAACTGTGTGGAGGGGCCGCAGCAGACACTGACAAAAGAGAACTGAAAGAATAAATGTCCATGCCCCACTCGCTGCCTCCCTCCTGTATCCAGGCAAATCCAGAGAACAAAGGAGCCACTAGTATAGTCCTCATAGGTCAGCTTCCTGAAGGACTGCAGAATGGAGAGGACTGTGGAGGTGCAAGATGGAGATGGATGTGGAGAAGCAAGAGGAAGGTGCACTCATTAACACTGACACAATTAACCTCCAGACAAGACTATACTGTCCAGGTGGTGCCCAAATGCTGGGCAGTGGTATGTGGATATCAAGGACTCTGCTGGGGGAGCAGGTTATTCATACAAATCATCCACCCCCCTGCACTGGCTACCTGGGACTGGACAAGGGAGGTCACCAGAGTCCCCTGCAGCTCACAGGAAGGAATCCAGAGGCACTTGGTGTCCCAGAACCACCACACCCTGCCTTTAACCTTCATCTCCACCTCTTCTGCCCTTTTGATTGAAACACACACCCTGCCTCCTGTCTAGTCAGGACTCTTCACAGCACATGGGAATCTGTTCTTAGTCATGTCTTTTAGGGTATGCTCTCCTGAGTCTGGCTTTCTCAATCTCAGCACTGCCTCTGAAAAAGCTTGACTCCAGAAACTCTATGAACTTGGGGAAATTATCAAAGTTGTACAAGTGTTCAGGTCTTTCATTCATAGGGTCTCTATGAGTCATCTACGACTCAACGGCACTTACAAACAACAACATAGAACTCTGTGGGCCTGGTGGAGAAAGTTATGCTACCAGGTCAAAGGTGGGTGATTTTAATCTGTGGCCCTCAGGTCTGGTTTTAATTGCTTTCAGTCAAACATTCTTCTAAGTGGTATAGCACTGGTCTGTCCATTTGCTGTATAGATGTAACTCGTGGTTGCTGTGATGCAACTGTGACACTGAGTCAAATGTGATAATGGTTACCCATGGTGGACAGTGTTTAGTGGAGCTCCCCAATTAAAACAAGCTTGGAAGCAGGAGAGGCATCCACTTCCAAAATAGCTTGTCTCCAGAAACTCTATGAACTTGGAGAAACAATGAAAGTTATACAAGTGTTCAGGTCTTTTGTTCATAGGGTCGTAATGAGTCGGCATCGACTTGTCAGCACTTAATAACAACAACAACAAAATCATGGTAGATGGAGAAAAGATTGAAATTATCAGTGACTTTGTCTTACTTGGATCCAAAACCTATTGGCACCAGCAGTCAAAAAATCACAAGACATACTGCAGTGAAATGTCTGCAGCCAGGGACCTCTCCAAAGTTCTAAGGAACAAAACTGTCAGTTTGAAGACTAAGGTGCACCTGATTACAGCCATAGCCTTTTTAATCACTTGCTGTGTATCTGAGAGCTGGACACTTAACAAGAATGATAGAACAAAAATTGATGTCTTTAAATTGTGGTGTTAAAGAAGAGAACTAAATATCCTATGAACTGCCAAAAGAACAAATAGATACGTCTTGGAAAAGGTACAGCCAGAGTGCTCCTTAGAGGTAAATGGTAAAGCTTCATCTCAAATACTTCGGGCATGTTGCTAGAAGGGAGTATTCCTTGGAAAAGGACATTATACTAAGAAAGGTGGGCGGTCATGGAAAGAGATGGATTGATATGATGACTACAGCAATGGGCTCCAGTGTGTCAGAGATGATGAGGATGGCACAGGTTAAGAGTGTGTTCAGCTCTGTTGTTCATAAAGTAACTATGAATTGTACTAATCTCAACTATACATAGCAACAATGCATGCCACAATGTGGGTGGACCTTGAAACATCCTGCTGAATGAATAAATCAAAGGATAAATATTGTATATCCTCAACTTAAATGAAATATTTGGAGCAAGCCAATGGAAAGAGATAAAAGTTTATTAATGGCTGCCCATTCATGGACATGAAGGAGAAGAAAAGAGGGACACATTGATTTTGGGACATTGAGTGACTGTGAGCAGCCCTGAGGTGACACCAACAGTTAAGCACTTGACTTACAACATTGAAAAGATTTTCAATGTAAACCCACCCAGAGCCTCCTCAGAAGAAAAGTGTGGTCATCTGCTCGGACAAGGACACAGCATAACTCCTGAGGAGCAGAGTTCCATGGGGACATTCAGACATACATGAGGTTTTCAGGAGAGGGAATTGACCCACCGATGACTGGGTTGGCTGGTGTGTATATTGGTTTCAGTTTAGGTTCTTTCAAAGGTGATAAAAAAATTAAAAACAGACCATAGTGGCAATTGCACTGAATGATGAAAATAATGTCACTGAATTGTCCATGTACGCTAAAAAAAAAAAAAAAAAAAAAAAAGTCAAAATGGTTTTGTTTCCTAAGGATTTACTACAATAAGGAAAGTAAAGCCCTTTGACAAGTAAACCAGATAAGAAAATGACTGTTCTCCTTCCTGAGGTGAGGGCAGCTGCCCCCTAGCATTCCACAGTCTCCGTTATCTCTCTTCCTGCTGACCCATCCTGCAAGGGGCAGAAGCCAGTACAGCAGCTGGAACTTGGGAGCGTAAACAAGTCTTTTCTTTGGTGAGTCAAACACAGGAAATCAGAACCTTATTTCACACCACACACCAAAACAAAGATGAGCTCAATCACATGCACTTAATATGATCTCATTCAAATGCAATATCCAGTGTAAGGGACAAAAAAGTAGACTAGTGGTGGCCAAGGGAGCTCTGTGGCCTGAGAAGTAGTGAGCTGTCCTGCCAACACAAAGGCTTGGATCCCGCAGTGCTCACATGGGATTTGCTGCCTCTGAAACCCAGTTCTGACTTGATAGCAATGAGCAGGACTTTTTGATGGTGAAGAGATTGAGATTGTTAACAGTTTTTGTTTGCCTGGCTCTACAATCAACACTCTTGGTACCAATATCTAAGCAATCAAAAGATGAATTGCATTGGGAAAGTCACCTGTCAGGGTTCTCTCCAGAGTACTGAAGAGCAACAACATCAGGCTGGAGACTAAGGTGCGCCTGATCCAGGCCATAGTCTTCGCAATTGCATGCTATGTGTGAGAGAGCTGGACAGTGACTAGGGATGATAAAAAGATAATTGATGTCTTTGAGCTGTGGTGCTGGAGAAGAGTGTTGACCATACCTTGGACTGCTAAGAGAACAAACAGGTTTGTCCTAGAGAGGGTGAAACTGGGCTGCTTCTTAGAGGCAAGGATTCTGAAGTTTCGTCTGACATATGTTGGGCATGTTGTAAGGAGGGACGGGTCCTTGGAGAGGGACATCATGTTTGGGAGGGTGGAGGGATAGCGCAGGAGAGGAACACCTTCGATTAGATGGATCAATTTGGTGATTGGTGTAATGGGAGTAGGTGTGTCAGAGACATTAAGATTGGCACAGGATAGGGCAGGGTTTAGGAATCGTGGGTCACTATGAGTCACAAGCGACTAAATGGCACATAACAACAGCAAGAGAGAGCTAGGGAGATAGGGTGATAGTTAATGATAGAGGATTTCTTTAAGGATTGATAAAAATATCCTAAAATTGGGAATAGTTGGACATATTCATATATATATATATATTGTTGGAGAAAAATTCTGGAAGCTGGTTTCTTGCATCTTGAGGGGAGTCACGTAAGGAAAATTTTGGGATGTGTTTGATTTGTGATACTGTTTTTCCCCTTCCACAACCAGGTATCAGTTAGCCTTTGG